ACTCATTCATTTCCTTTCCAAACTAATTTTTAAAAAATAAGGTATTGAAATGAAAGATAAAGTTCTAAAAAACCACACAGGCTAATGCCTTCTAAGTAGTATTAACAGTCTCCTAAGCTGTGGTGTATTATATAGCTAATAGGAAACTCAGCTGCAAAACCTGCATAGGAATAAGGGCAATCAGCTAACTTCTGTTGCTCCACAAGAGAGAAATCCTGGCTCTTAAACCCAATCTGCTCTCAGTGACGAAAGAGGTGGCCAGTCGGCATGGTTCGAAGCACGTTCAGCGAGCATGCAGCTGCTTTTGCTGACAGAGGATGATGGAAACAGAACAAGAGTGGAACACTGTCCTTTGCATGGCAGGTGCCCAGTCATCTCTGCCCTGACACTGGGCTTTTTAGCACCACGGTGGTAAGTGGCTAAAAAAGACAGGAAGCAGGCATGAAATCTGATCCAGTCATAGGTAGCTCAACACAGGGCACACAAATGAACTTCCAATACTCTGTCTTATCGGACACTGACTTATGACTGAGCTACAGGACATCTCCCAAAACCTCGGAAACTCATACGGGAGGAAGAATATTCTACCACTCACAGATGAGCCACCTTTCAGATAGATGTGGCCAAATGTGTCAAAAATGGCCTGCAGCAAGGGCTAATAGTGGGGACAAATCAAGTGAGACACTATTTCCTAGCTCTTGGCTCCAAGAGAGCTACAAATCCAGCAGGAGACTAGTGCCTTGCCCTGCAGAGATGCAAGGCACTTCCAATAAGGTGATCGATCAGCTGCACCTTGCTTCTTTGACTGGCAACATCTGCTCTCCTGCTGAGATTTTACAGGCACACCTGGCCCTTAATTCAGAAAAGAAAATTACACCTGGACATCCCACCCCGATCTGACACTGGGAAAGTGCTGAGACGGTGCTTACGCATATACTCAATAGCACTGTTTGTCCTAGGTTTGCCTCACTTTCTAGGGGCGACGTCTTCCTCTGCACAAACACATTCATATTAAAACTATTTCGAACATTACTTCCCTGGAAACTACAGGCAATATAAGAAAAATCTAAAACTCTAAGAAAGCACATAGGTTTTAATTTTCGCCTAATTACTGTGTTTTTAAACGAATAAGCTTCTAAGCACAGTTTTGGACAGGAAAACTTTACTAATTCAGGATAAATTTCATACCACTGCACTGATCCTATTTCTTCATGTTGGCAAGGCCTTATCTTTGCCCAAATTACATCCTTTTGCTGAAATAAACAACATCAGGAAGAAAGGAGGCAGAAATCTGTACAAATGGCAAACATATCTTTGCATATTTTTTCAGGCTGTGATACTGTGTACATAATTTCTAAAGTCATTTTAACTCATTGACTTGCTTTTATTAAATCAGGTGAAAAGAATTTTATGGCAGAAATAAGATATTTTCATAATTTTCCTTTAGATAGATATTTCTTCGTGTTGTTTTCCCATCTCCATAAATCACCAGTTTCGCAACAAGGCAGCAAGTCAACACAGCTAACCTTTTAAAGGAAATAATAACGAAAGTGTGCACATTTCATACGACAGGGATCCCTTAGTATTTATCCAGCGTTAACTTATGCAAATAGACAACTCCAAACTAAAGGATATATTCAATCCTATTAACAGTGGCCTTCCTGTAGCCTTTGGGACCACTCTTTTCAAAGCACATAGAGCGCTGCCCTAAATGATGTGCTCACTTCTCCATTAAGGGCTGGCCTAGGGAAGGAAAAGCTTTAATGCTAGCAGGTATACACTGACACTTTGGATATATTCAAACTCTTCAGCACCCTACACATTTTTTCGCCTTCAGATCCCAGTGCACTTTGGACTGCATTTAAGTGTGCGTTAGTGTTCACTGCACTTCCATGGGCACATCCCAGAACCAGGAAGGCACAACAGTAGATTTGAAACTTTGTAGAAGATCAGTGTCTTTATGTTAGTTAACAGCAGTGCAGCAAATACAGAAGGCTATGTTTTTCCAACACCCTCTTTTTGGGGGGACATTTTGCCTGTGGCTTCCCAAAAGGATTCAGAGCAAAACACAGTCCACCAGAAGGGATATATTTTCCTGTTTTTATTTCAGACTACCCCTTTTGAAGAAAACTGCTTTCCTCTGGCAACACTGTTCAGTCAGTTCTTACAATCACAAGTGCCGAATTTTGAGTAGAAGGGTCCTTGAAAGGACGGAGCAGCACAAGGATGAAGCGAACCTTAGCTGAAAATACCGTTACCTTGAGAACTTTCCAGTTTGTTTGGGTATAGTTTAACTTCATCTAGTCTGAAATCAATTGACATACTGGCAAGCTGACATGCATTACTATCCAAAGACAACACATGTTATTTTGACCAGGAACAACTTGCACATTTCTTGTGAATTTGGGAATCTCAAACACAGAAAAATCATTGTTAGCAGCTTTTAAAAATACCAGTCTTATGCTCTTTAGAGAGAAACATTATCCTTCCTTAGACCAACAGGAGCAATTTTCACATTTGCCCTTGCATCTGCACAAAGCGAGGAGCTGAACCTGGGGACCGAGCCCTCAGAACTTTACAGAGAAATAAAAGCCCTTCTTCCTTATGTTTCCTCTCCCCTTCTTGTGTAGACAAAGGTCAACTTCTAACGGTACTAAAGCTAACATATGCTGATATAAATACCTGCTGTATTTTTTTCATACAATGAGTTTATCATAACAAAATAAAGGAGAGTTTACACAACTGAATACGTATGAAAATGATCTGCTGTTCTCTTCTTCCAAAGAGACATTAAATAGCATATTCTGGGTGAGAAGAGCAGAGAAGAGTTCTGAGAATCAGGCTCTTTTCTCAGCGTATAGTTTACATATGCAAACCACCCACTAATACTAATGGGAACTCTGCATTATTTAACTCTGCTTCAACCCAAGAAGGTACATAAAATAACAAGGTATCACATTTCTTCTAGGATGGTAAATGAGAAAATATTTTTCTGCCCCATTCCAATACATCTGTCTTTCATTTTCCTCCTCTAGCCACTGCTTGTATACTAGTCCTACTCTACTTATTAAAAATCATATTTATGGCTTTTCCTCACACTCAGATTTGTATCTCCCAGCAGCAATAACACCTGTCTTGATGCTCTTCATATGCTTCTCCCTAAAAGCGGATCAACGTAAGTGCACAGAAGAAAGAAATGTGATTAAAGAAACAAGTAAGATATTTTTACTGCCCTTTCCGTTGAGTCGTCATCAGTGTTTTGTGTTTCCAAATATGATTTCCTATGTAATTTAGAACATCAGCTTCTCACATCAGATCATGTGTAAAGGAGACAGAGAGCATACAGCGCCAGTTCAAGAGAAAGTTTGCAATAAGATTACACGATTTCTACTTACAAAAGCTTGCAAGGTCAGTAAATGTTCCAAAGCCCAACATTGAGACTTTTTTATCCAAACACTGAAGGTGTTCTTATTTCTACAGTGAAGTAAAGATATCTGACTTGCAATCAGATCTTTCATTCCACAAATTAGTAACTAAGGTAAAGTGGTATATTTGCACTGAATGAAATTTTATCATAAAATGTAGAAGTACACATTTTACAAAAAATTAATGCAGAAACCAAGTTTGAAACTAAATTAATTCAAAATTAAATTAATTGAAAATTATTAATAAAAATAATAAAAAGAAAAAGGGATTTTAGAAATGAGGTATTTGAAGAGTGTTGAGAAAATTTTATTGCTATCTGGTGATAGAACTTTAGGAGATGATCTCTTCATATTGAGATATTTGAGAGTATTGAAGCTATCTTCTGCTTCTTTTCTTTAATACCCAGGGATAAAATAATGAAAAATTTTAGGCAATTTATAGTTGCCTAAATAGTCATTTTATCTACTTAGAACTACTAGAATATATTCATTCTTCTATACTGACCTCTAGGTGGCACAAAAAAACCCTAAACTAGGTGGACCTTCTCTGATTTTCCACATAACATTATGCCTTCCAAAATCAGCCTCCTCAACTCCAACATCACAAAACACACATCTAATAATCTGTACTAAATAAAATGTCAAAATAAGTTTTGAAGTGCCAACTACTGTATCTAAGTAGCTTATTTGTTGCTGCTTGTAATGAAGTAGATTGAGATATAAAGCATTCATTGATTCACCCCAGTTCATCTAATATCCTTTCACTTTCCACCTATAATACCTAAGAGGAACAATGGGCCTACTAGAAATAAAGTTAAGGTTTAGATTTAATTTAACCTAATGAAATGCAGTGGCACTAAAAACATTTACCAAAAAGAAGTTTGTAGTCATAATCCAGCAGGGAAAAAATGATACCCAGTAACACACCTCCATTACTTTATCTTATTTTAGATTAAGGTATAAAAGAATGCAAAAAATTAAAGGGTTAGTGAAATCACATCAAATCAATATTTACTGCAACAGTAGCTAGAGATGCTGCTTTTTGAACCAAGTGACGTAGCTGTTGGTATGAGCCTAAGACCAGCGAGTTCTGTGCGACCACAGAGAATCGTTGCACTGAACGCCCGTATTATGCACTGCGGATGAAATATTGCAGCAGCCACCAGTTCCCAGCATACAACAACGGCACCACGCACACATTTTGCGTCAACTGACATCATTATGTTAGGCCGCACAGCATTTCATCTCCTCTACCAGAAATGTGCATGCCTACCCTGCCTTCGCATCAGTGTTTGTACTCATTTCCTTTGTCTCCTGACTGGCTTAGCAAAATCATCCTCACTCGCACCCCCATGTCTCTGTATTCAGTCACTCAAACAGGACTTCCCCCACTCTATCGTCCAAACCCATTCAGTCTGTAACATGTTTCCACTCTGAAGACTGAACAAGAATTTTTTTCAAAGTTATGCATAAAAGTATGTTAAATCATTATGGGGAAGAGCACTTGCATCAATATGTGATGGCAGAGTGCTGCCTCATATACCCACAATTAAACAAGAAAGAAATGTCTCTCACCTGGCATAGAAATCTTTCGGGGGAACAACTTCCTGAAAGAACTGTAGCTGGTATAGATAAAGTCCAATCAAGTGTCCTGCACTGAATATAGCCATTAATACACACAGACAGCTGAATATCAGCGGATCAAACACTTGGCAACAGGACCACCATGTGCACAGCCCCAAAAATACAAAGAAATACACAGCTGAGGTCAAAGATGGCACCATCATACCTGTAAAAACAAACACAGAGGCTATTTGGAAAAGTCTGGAAAATATATTGTTAATCCTTAAGTCTGGCAAGAAGCTTATTAAACAATTTAATTCAATTTGTTTTTATTACCATTAGCACTTAAGACTGCTATTAGCTGCAAGGCTAGGTGAAAAGGAGCCTCTCTTTTTGTTCAATTTGCTTATGCCATACCTTAGGACTTCGCATATAACCACTCTCCAGATCGTTCCTCCCAGATAAATTCTTCTCTTAACGTTTGTAAAGGTGTTTCACAAAGCATGGAAAAAACCAGAAACGTGGCTGCAAGGACAGCCAGTGGAGACACTGTGCCTGAGAGCACTGGTAACATGTTTTTAAAATACTAGACTTCAGAATGAATTTTAAGTACAAGGTGCTAAAATGGCACAAAGAATGAACAGTGAAAAGCCTTCTTATACAAATCTTGGGTTGTTCATTAAAGATGAAAGACCTGATGCATATCCTGAAAGTAAAATGCATCTAGAGAATAATCAGTAAATGATTTTTTTTTCATTTTTAACTCACAGATATTTGTACTTTACATATAGTAAGGACTCTGCTGTCTTGCATGTGTGTACTGTTTTTCCTCTTGTGCACGTTGCAGAATATTTCACTTGTGAAAATGGCTAACTGGTGAAGGAGCTCTGACACTTTGTGGGTAGTCCACAAAAATAAGTGAGGAGCAGGAAAGGTGTCTGCGGCTATGAGTGGAAAACAGGAGAGAACGACACAGACAACTTGCATCCTGCATAACTCTCCAAAGGAACCACTAAAGCAACTGAAGCTAAGAGAACTACGTAGGGCTGCCTGTCCCTTTTTAAGTTTTTTTTAAAGGACTGAATGCATGTCTAAAAGCCACTTTCTTTCTGGACATATCTGCAGGCACTGGGGTTTCTTCCCGGCTGGGCTGAGCACAGGCTCCTCTGACAGACCTGCAACAAGCCCACAAGGTAGCCGGACGCGGTCCCATCGGCAGCCTTTGCACAGCACGCTCCTTGCAAAGGGCAAAGGGAAAGGGACGGTCCCAAAAGACAGGTGACTTCACGCTGGATTTTAGTGGCAGAAATTGCTGCTGGCTGGGGTGGCCACAACCACTTGATGTTAGGTAAGATACTAAAGCTAATGTTATATATTGGTAATAGATGGACTCCTACCCACGGTAATTTTGCCTGCATCTCTCTATTCCACCCTTTCACATCACACTTTAGACCAAGTCTCCAGCCTAGGGTGCTTTGTCTCTGTTCCAGCTGGTGTTTCTATAGGCTCACAGATGTAAAAGCGTGAAAGGACCACAAGGATCACCTATTCTGACTGCCTGCACAATGCAGCCTGTAAAACTTCACCCAGTAATTTCTGCCTCAAGCCTGTGACTACTTCTTTCCTTCTTTTAAAGAGATACTCTGTCTTTATTTAAGCCCTGTAGGAGAAGGAGAATATGCTATATCCATAAATAAGTTGTTTATATGGCCAATTACCCTGGCTGTGAAAAATTCAAAATTTATTTCTGGTCTCAACTCGCCTAGGCTTATTGTTTAACTACTGGATGACTTTATAACTTCTACTACATGAGATGTTTGCTATGAAAATGGAAGCTCTTTGTACATTTGTCAGTACTTTCAGACTATAACAAATCACTATTCATCTTTTTTTTTTCTTGGCGCAGTGACAAAGAAAGTATTTAACTAATTAAGCTTGAGGTCTCTCACTGGCATAGAGGCTTCCCAGACCTCACGTCCTTTTCGTAACTCTCCTCAGGACACCTCTCAGTTCTCACCATATGCAGACAAGATACCAAATGACACTCAGAAGAAAATGCCACCTACCACTTCTGTGTGATTCTTCTCCTTTGTTCTCCATGGGTAATGTTCACCCATGCAGCTTCAGCATGACAAGGAAACTACATTTATTTGTCTACAATTGTTAGTCATTTTTTCTCAAGGTTTCTCTCTTCCATCATGTTTATTCCCCATGGTGATCCACACCATAAACCTTTTTTTTTTTCTTCTTCTTCTTCTTAGATTTATGACTCTGAATTAGGCTATTGGTAAGTCAGTGAGATAAGCTTACCTTACTAAGAGAGTCACACCAGATCTGTCCTCGGCGTTCAACATCAACAATTTTTTGTACTATCATTTTATATTTCATATACTTTATATAAAGTATACAGTTGTATATATGCTTACACTTTATATGTAAGGAATCCCTTCAAATATCCTAGTAAACAGATAATTGCTAATTTACAATTCAAGGATCCAATTTTAAATCCATTCATCACAACCTAAAGTCACTTGTATAATTCTCCTTTGTAGCTGAATATTACGTAGTACTAAATCAAACGTCTTATAAGAGGCTGGACAAATCATATCAAGAGAGCTACTTCTACCAAAAAACATTAAAGTCACAGCAAAAGCCAATATGAAGTCTGCTTATCACTTTTGTTACACACTGCATAGTTTACCCGTTAATCTTTTCTATTTTTGACTTTTTCTTTTCCTTTTTTTTTTAAGGCAATGTGAACATAGTTCCTTTTTATACTTGGAAGTGACAGAATCGAATCTATAAATTCACATTATAGTCACTTATAACATGTAACCATTGATCATTTGGTTATAACAGTAACTGTGAAAATCACATACAAAATGACAGGGCCATATAGTATTAGTATAAAAAAATTAAGCAACTCAGCATATTCCAATGCCTGCCAAAAAGTTAATTTAAATAAAATCAGCAGCAATTTCTTTTCCCTTAAAAATTTCCATTGTTATTCCCGCAGGTGCCAAAGCGCTGAAAACTCATTTGTTACATGCATAATCAAACGGGCTCTGGAGGAAATTTTTCAAAAGCACCAACCTGTTGAACCAAGTAAAACTGTAACAATAACTTTTCCAGTGGTGGCTATAATGTTGCCAATAAACTCCTTCAGTTTGGATGCTAGGGAGGCAATTCTACGCAGCAGTTTTAATTTTGTGGTTTCCTCAAATTCTGCTTCACCACAGTCTTCATCATCCAAGTCTTCTTCATACATCAAAGCATCATCCGGCTCTAACTTTTCTCTTACAGCCTAATGGAAGAAAAAATAAAACAAGCAAACAAAAAGAGAATGCCAGAGAGTGAGAGAGAGAAAGAGACAAAGGTATTTGAAATTAAACAACACTGATAACAATGACGCCTTCTTGTATCTCTGACTATATGCAAATAATAAGGGAGTTATGAAAGATGTAGTAGAACTGGAGTTGTGCATTGATGGCTCCCACTTCAGATCTGTCTCAAGAAGAAAAGGATGCTAAGAATGGTCTCTGACAAAGATTTCCTGCACGCAGCACAGCAGGTTTCTCTAACAAACAGACTGTACTTTCATTTCCATATGAAGTTTTGTTTGCTCAGCATTCTTTCCATCTTGCTGTCTATAATTTGATAAACTCCTCTTTGGGTTAATAGCTTCAGGAATAAGCTTCAGACTCCAACCAGCAGTGCATTCTTGGTTGATGTCCCTCAATGAACCTCATTCTTCAAACCCTTCCCCATGAATCCTTTCTAAGACGTGATCTGAGACAAGGGAATTGTGGTTGAAATAAATGGGCAGATAGCTCATGGGTGACTGACGGCCAGATGGGGAAAGAAAAAGCATACACAGCAGAGGCTCAAGGAAAGGATGAGAAATTGTGAGGCTGGCTGATGCGGAGAGAACGAGAAAAAACGTGAGCAAGAGAAGCAGTGAAAGCTTGAATGATCTGCAACAATTTAACAGGGAAAAAGAGGCCTAGTGGCTAAGAACTACACAATGGAAAAAGGAAAAGAAGGAAATAGGACAAGGCCCCTCACAGTCAAGCAGTTTATGAGGATTTGGCAGTGGCCTTCACCACAAAGTCTCCATCGTATCTTGGAGACTTGAAGATATACACAGCTATTGAGTGATGCAGACTAAATCATCAACCCACGGTGAGAATCCACAGGATTAGCAGGAGGCCCACCCAGAGACACAATTTATGGAAAAAATTAGTCATTCACATGGAGGGGCATATCTTTTTTAACAATGTTTTAGAGTCAGGTTCTTGCTTCGTGTAACACAGCACAGCTTCTCTGAAATTAACCTAAACGTATATTAGCTAATACTCTGTCCAAGCAGTATCTCTGTGCGTGAAAGACAGAAAGAGAGACTATTGACATCTTTTCATTAGAATAGCAATTTTATATTTATTGGTGACTTCTGGTAGCAAAAAATTCCACACTGACAGATCAGATTGCAGTAGAAACAGCTGAACTATTACCTCCTTAACTCAACCAAATTCTTTGTTGCCATTTATTGTTATGTGGATTCCCCAAGGAAATAAAATTCCCAGTGGGCTCCTTCATTTCACCTCTAAGCTTGGTGCCAACTTTCTCCTCTCACTTTGGAGCATTAACATTATCTGCGAATGCCCAGAAGAAGCCTGCCCATTCTCAGGAGTATCTGTTTTACAGACAATGAAATATGCATTAAATACAGTAGGGCTGATCTGGGAAATCTACCTTTCTCTCAGATATATCCAACTATTTCAATAACTATATCCCTTCTGAGTGGGATTACCATTTCAGTTGCTTTTTTTTTTGTCACCATTCACTTACACAGCTCTCAAGACATGAATTATTAGTTCCTGATGCAAAACAATGGAGAGGAGATCACAGTGCAAACGCTCAGCCACCACATTTCACGGTACACAACACAAAGAGGAATTCTGTCTGTTCACCGCTGCAGCTCTTTTCTGAGCTCCTGTCTATTTACTTAAATATTCAGAAACAATGCTGAGACTAGGCTAAATGATTCTTTATGTATGTTCTTACTTCTACCACAGCTGTATCAGTGAGAAAGCCACACAAAGGACAAAAGTACTGATTGCTTCTGCCTCTGCTGTAATTACTAGACGAACCTGCTCCTCACCTAGTTAGTCCTCTTGGGCCCAGTCCTGCTCCTCCTGGATCGGCTCTAGTGATCTATACCTTTAATTTAATATGAACAGTTAACAGAGAAACATTCAACAGTATTCATACCCCAAACCCAAAGAGAATCAGTGAGAGTGGAATATGATGTAGTACCCTAATGTGGTCTGTGGACCAGTGCAAAGGAGACTCTTGTTTCTTCAGCTACTGCTTTCAAATTTCTCAAGACAATATACATTAAAATGTGGAATGAATTGCAAAGAAATTGAAAGGAATAGTTTCAAAATAAGTAAGACATTATAGAGGAGACTGTCAGATCACAGACCGTATAAATATCGTGAACCTGTATTAAACAGGAAGACAGAATATATATATTTGTTATAGCCTAGGCTGAACAGGAGTTCTGTATAAATTGCTGATATAGTATTTAACTATGCATATGAGGGAACAGGAAATATAAACCTGAAGAGTCACAAAAGAAAATACAAAGATGTTATCCATATGGAAGCAGAAAATCACCTTGAGGGAAAACACGACAAAACTTACATTTTTTATACTGCTAAGTATAGGAAGAACAAAAGAGAAAAAGAGCAGACAGAACTAAGAAAAATATGTAAGAACAGCCCAAAGAAAGATGCTACTTAAACCATTTTCTCTCTTTCCCCCTCCACCTTCCTTCCTCATCTCCAGTGCCAAACCCCAGGTTTCCCAACTTGCTCCTATCAAAATGGGTCTTCGGATTTTCCTACCATCATAACTAGGATCATAATTTTTTAACTTGAAAAGCCTAATCAATTTTTCTTCACTGACCTGAAAGATCTTTAGGCTACATTTTGTCCTAACAGTTCAGCATTAATAATCTGGTACTTTCACGTATGTGACAATATGCCCAAGGAGAAGCACTAGGAAAAATGTTTCACAGGACCAGAATACTGCAAAAGAGATGATCCAAAATTTCTATGAATCTAGGCTTACACAACTTAGGCATAGCTAAAATATTGCAAGTTAATGGAGTTACAAACGGAGTTAACTTTTCCTCACATGAAATTACTTTCACTTTTTTTAGAAAACAAAATACGAATTCCAAGTTCTAAAAAAAATGTTACGACCTCACAAACACTTCACAGGAAATGCAGAGCAACCTACTTCGGGTTTTACTGAGACCATCAGCTTTTATAAAGAAAAGCACAGCATCTGAACTTCAGGAAATATGAAACTGATTCCCCAGCACTTCCTTCTAAAACTACAAAGCTCCCTCTGTATCTAGTTGGGGATCTTGAACTGCCCTCCTCAGTTAAAGAGAAACTAGCAAATGGGAAAACGTTCTGATCATCAACAACAGCCACAATCTGCAGTCCGGGAAATTTTTCTGGAACGGATACATACTGTTTTTACAACTTTTCAGCAGCACCTGAATTATTAATGATATGGCTGTGCAGAGACTCTCTGGTATCAGTGACACGGACTTGGCACTAGCATGCTCCCTGCAAGAGATGGGTTAGCTTCTGCAGCTCTCTCTTCCCCATCTGTAAGTGCTTTTAAGGACAACAGCTTATCCTTAGCCTTATTCTCTCTACTTCCCAATGGTGTTATTCACTCTCTAATCAATGACTATTTCAGCAAAAAGCCTATGAGAGCTAAGCAACTATAGGTTTGACATTTTTTATATAAACATATCCATTTGCAACTCCATCTCCCAGATGAAGCTCAGCAGCTGAAAGATCATGCTCCAGTGCATATCAAAGAGAAACTCTGGACTTCTCTGCTCTCAGATTCACCACCAATCAACTGCATTATCTGGGAGAGCTTTCCAATTTTGCACATTGAAGACTCCAAATTGTTGAAGGCAGGCAAACAGTGAACAGTTTTTACATCCAACATGGTGATAATGTGCCCGTTGTTTTAACACTTTTTGCTGATTAAATAGCCAAGCAAGCACATGCTCATCACAGAACACCACTACGGCAGTCAGGCTGTTTCACAAAGCTCTTTTTACTGCATGGATTAGTCTAAAACTACAAACCCATGCTACATAGGCTAGAGTTAGAAAAATACTTTTACTTCCATAATAAATTACTTATTATGCAATTACAGGATCCCTGTGGATGCTGATTAAATCAAATAAACTTCTCCATTCAAGGAGTACAGCACATTTGTGAAGTCATAAACATGTGTTTCCATGACCTTTGCTCTCTAGAGCAGGGCCCCAGGCCTTTTTATAAACAGACTAAATGCAGTTTAGGTTTTCCAGCAATCCTGTGGGAGTCCCAGGAGTATTTATTGTACTACGCTTTTCTAAACTGCCAAATTGAGACAGAGCACAGGCAAGGAAACAGCATTGCCTCTGTGGCAGCTATGGCAGCCCCCAATTTGGGCACGCGCGGCAAG